CTTCAGTCATTACACGTGTCGGTACATAGCACATCAGTCATTACACGTGTTGGAACATAGCACATCAGTCATTACACGTGGCGATACAAAGCACATCAGTCATTACACTTGTCGGTACATAGTACATCAGTCATTACACATGTCGGTACAAAGCACATTAGTCATTACATGTGGCGATACAACCAGGTTTTACTGTACACATACAACAATTATGAAACTTTATAAGATTTTGGATAAATTCTTTAAAAACAACAGCTACTTGTGGATAATTTTCCTTGAAATCAAAAACAATTTCAGGAACTCGACTTAAGTATTCATTTAGTCCTATTTCCTCAAATATGACAGAAAGACTGTCATCCTGCCAATCCTTGTTTAATACCAAAGGTGTTGAAACATTAAATTCTTAATCCTACATTTGATGCTCAAACAGTGCTAAATACTTAATCCCTGTACTTTATAACTGAGAGAATACTATACTGCAGGTGTAAAAATAGGGGATTTAATCAGAAGCTAGTCAGATCACTTCATCCAGTCATCAGGTCAATTCTATGCTGATGTCCACATCATAATTTCAATTTTTCCTAGTTCAATATTTAATTAATACACCTTTTCAATACATTTTAAAATCAATTTCACATTACTTAGCTGTTTTTAATTCGTAAATTATTTTAAATCCCTTTAAAACGTGGACAGCTTTATCCTTACAAGCAGCATGTGACAGGTCAGCATCAACAAATGGTCATTGGCTTAAATGACCAATCACCTGCCTCCTTCACCTCTATTACCAGGATTTGCTGTTTGGGATCGGCATTGACAGACCAGTACTGATCAGAGACAGAGGGTTACCAATACGTCAGACAAATGACTTCTGAATTCCTACACCGCTTTACTTATGATACACATGGTAAGAGGGACTTTCTACATTTATATTTTAATCATGAACTGTTGTATGAAGTTTGCCATTTCTTTTTTTCTAGATTTGTGTGTAATTCATGACATGAAGTTTGTCTATTTTAATTTCAAGATTGTGTGGTAATTTCCATTGTCAAATCCTAGTTGTTTACTTTTGAAGCATTTTGTAATTTCTATGTGTAAACCATGGGAAGTTTGGTTTGTTATATTTTTCACATCAACATGCTTATAATGAAAAGAATTAACACTTGCACTTTTTTAGGTTAAAATTATAATTTCTCCTTTACTTTCTAGAATTCGTATGTACAGGGAAAAGTTCAATATTTTCCAAACCTTATATATAGAAAAGCAATTTTTAAAGGTAATTTTTGAAATGTTTTAACTTTTAACACTATCAAACATTTAACACTATCAAACATTTAACAATTCAAACATTTAACACTATCAAACATTTAACAATTCAAACATTTAACAATTCAAACATTTAACACTATCAAACATTTAACAATTCAAACATTTAACAATGGAAGCTTTCTTTTTTTTAACATTCACTTGTGTGTTATCGGAAATATCAAATTAGCAATTAATATTTGATCATTTGCATCAATTTAAAAATTAAAATTTCAATTAATTAGTTTTGTGTGACATAAACAATACATTTATTAATAAGATAAACTGCCTGTAACCAGGAATTATAACTATACAGTATATTATGAGAACTTGAGGATTTTGTTTTGCTATTGTTGATCTGAATTTTAATGTTAAAAGTTGTAATGACTTACTAACACAAAATATACAGGACTAACCAATTTTTGTACATTTAGAATAATTAAATACTGAAAATGAAAGGAAACAGTAATTAACAAATTAGAGTACCCCCGGTATACAACATGGACATTGGGATATGTTTGTGGCACACAAATTATTCGGGATTGTTAAGGGTAACACAGAAGTAAATGAAATGTGTAGTGTTAAGACAGAGAAAGAAGTAAAAAGAAGTTAAAAGAAGATAGAAACGATAGGAAAACAAGAGGCCCATAGGGCCAGCATTGCTCAGTTGTTTTATCAAACTCAAACATATCAGAAAATGGGTAAATAACAAAGCATAGGCATTTGCATTGTATTGCAATATAGAAATGAAATATTGCTGCATCGCTGTTTTATTCAAAAGCTTGTTTCTATGACTCTGCTAGGTGTTTTAACTTTGCACATTCCAACATATTCTAACAGATATGCCAATAACCATAAACAGTGGTGGGAATCAGTTGAAATTTCATAATTGATGGTTTATGTAAGAAGAAAAAAATCTGTGTAATCCATATGATATAAGATACAGTTTGGTAACGTTCTGACTACAAATCCTTTTTTAAATGAACCTCCTTTTCCTGTGACAATATATTGGGATATGTATCGTTATACATTCCTTCTGTATCATATTCCACTCTAGGCTTCTTGTGACACCCCTCATCCGAACTCCAGAAATTCTGAAATTCTTACAGACAATTTAAGACCATGGTGACCACCTTCGATTTCTTACCACGCCAATCTATAACAATGACCAGACTTGGTCAGGGTACTGCAGGGGTTAAAGAAACATCTGTACCAATTTGAGTGGATTTTTTGACTAGGTGAGATTTTTAAGAATAGCACCAAATGTCTCAGTCAGAAGACCAGCTAGTCATCTTGAATTTCTAATTAACCCCAAAATTAACAGCATGGACATGACAACATGCAGGACTAACTGAGAGGAATAGTCATGCAAAACTTGATAACTAGTCGAAAAGGACTGAGTGAGGCATTCATAGGTTAAGGTGGCAAATTTGATTTTTAACTGATCTAAAAAATAGCAAAATAAGGAGCTTTGTGTATGTGTAGATGGCTAAAGGGACAGAATTATGACCCTGGGACTAAGTCATCTGGGGCAGGGCTGGACCCAAGAACCAATCCTTGTACCATGATTATGTCAATCTATTAGCAATTGTATATTGCTTATAGGGTAGAAATCTTAATTATTTTTACAGTTTCTATATTGCTTATAGGGTAGAAATCTTTATTATTTTTACAGTTTCTATGTTTTGAACTGGGGACAGTCACTAGGGGCGAGGTTGACCAAGGCAATAATCCTGGTAGCATGATTGTGTTCTTCACTATACTGTATACCGGGAAAGTTTCGCCACAGTTTAACTATCTCCTTCAGATCTGAGAGCGAATTTAACATGATGGCAAAAGTAAAAAAATAAATATGTATACAATGGCATATGTTTTGTCACTATTCATCTACACTGATGGCTTAACTCAGGTACCGTATGTGATACAATTGGGGTCCAGTGTGTGTAATGCAGCATTATGTTTCATAATAAAGGATTGACAGTTTGTTTTATTTTTTAATTATTTAATATTTCAAGAACAGATTAATTTGTTTTCTTTTTTTAACCACTGCTCCCACACAATGTTTTGTACTTCCTCCTTTGTGTTTTTGAATGCAGTTGTAGAAAATGGCGATGGCGAGTGTCCAACTTTTTTTTTTTAAATAATTTAAGATCAACATTTCAATGTCTGCCTTCGTACAACTGATTGAAAACCAAAATCTTTAATTGTTCTCATCTGTAACACCATTTCATGTATGAACACTGCTCATACTTACTTGTATACTATTGTGTTACATTGTGTTTTGTGTCGAGTAGTCATACTCTTTTTAGTAACGGGGAATTTCCACTAATTGTGGTGTAGGGCGAATTTATCACTGGGCGAATAAGGACTCTGCCGGTGAAGGGCGAAAGTTTAACGAGGCGAAAGCTTCTCAGTATGCAGTATGCAACACAAATGTTTAATACGATTCCATATATGTGAACTGCTTCAATGTGGTTGAGTGGCACAGTGGATTGTGCACTTGCTTTTCACAAAGATGGCCAGGGTTTGATTCCCCAATTGGCCATTGGGTTATTGGATCACCCGTCTGACCAAATGGGTTTTCTGGTTTCCTTTCCAAGCAAAACCATCTGTGTGCTGGCACCCAGATCAACAACAGTGGTTATTATAAGCTGGAAAAACCTGTTTTATAGTTGTTGGGATTTTTTTTATCTTATAACTGCTTCCATGATATGATGCAGGGACTAACTACCAGGGGTGTGTGTGTGTGTGAGGGGTGGAGGGGGATGTGTGTGTGTGTGTGTGAGGGGTGGAGGGGGATGTGTGTGTATGTGTGTGTGTGGTGAGGGGTGGAAGGGGATGTGTGTGGGTGGGGTGGGGGTGGATGTGTGTGTGTGAGAGGTGGAGGGGGATGTGTGTGTGTGTGTGTGAGGGGGGGAGGGGGATGTGTGTGTGTGTGTGTGTGTGAAGGATGGAGGTGTGTTGGTGTGGGTGTGGGGGGGGTGGGGGGGGGTGTGGGTGTGGGGGGGGGGGGGGGGGGGGGGGGTGTGTGGGTATGTGTGTGTGTGGTGAGGGGTGGAGGGGAATGTGTGTGTGTTGGGGGGAGGGGGATGTGTGTGTGTGTGAGAGAGGGGAGGAGGGGTGTGAGTGTGTGAGGGGGGAGGAGGGAATGTGAGTGTGTGAGGGGGAAGGAGGTGTGAGTCTGTGAGGGGGATTGTGTGTGTGTGTGAGGGGGAGGAGGGGGAGTGTGTGTTTCAAGTCCCTGAGATAGGGATGGACCCTGGAGCCAATCCTGGTACAAATGTAGCATGAACAGTGTTTTGTCTCTTTATGTTTATCAGTATGTATATGGTTATATTGTGGGTCTCTTGATCAAACTCCTCTATTAGGGGTTTTATCCTTCAACATCAAGTTGTTGCACTAACTTCATTTATGCAAACTATGATTATTTTGTTTCAAACTGAATATGGTTACAATTGATGCTGCCATTTAGGAGGAGCAGGATTTAGAAGCAAAGATTGCCCTAACTTCACATTTCAGGCCCTGTACCTCTGGCTCCTGGGGATTCAGAAACTTCACTTATACACAATATTATTGTCTTCCCTGAGCGATGATTCCGACCAAACATGGTAACAATCACAACAGCTGTGCAAAGATCTACACTAACCAGAAAAATAAAATCACAAATGTACACTACATAACAACAAAGTCTGTCTTACCAAGATCACACTGAGTCTCGGTTACTGCTCCTTTCTCTCGTAGAAACATTCTCTCATTCATCTCCACAGGTCGCCTCTGTAGCTCTGTTACAAACAAACAATAACAAATCTTCAATCTTCATTCATTTCTGAGAAGTATTTTTTCAGTGATAAAATCTTGATGCATCTCAGGAAGATACAAACTGACGTCCAGCCAAGGTAGCTATATAAAAATCGATTTCTGTTTATCTTTGTTTTAATATACTTTTTATTCTGTCATTTTGTTAATTTGAATATGAAAAGTTAAGAAAACTATAACCATGTGTTCAATTTGCAACACCTGTTACCAGTTTTCCATATAAGATTTTTTTTTTACTTTTTTGAAATTTATGCTTATATTGTCAATCAAACTTTAAAAGCTCAAAATGGAAACTGTAAGAAAACCTGCCAGTAATCAGGCACATTACAGAGATAAACAGTCCCTTTAAATACATCCTTTTATGCTGTACTCACAAAAAAGGGTCATGAATTAAAGAGAACTTTGTATGTGTAGAAACCGAAGTACATAAGTAAAAGAGAAAATGTAAAATGCCTACAATAACATAATGATTAATGACTATTTAAGTAGGACATACCTGGATATTTTCTCTTGAATGACTTGACGCCCAGGAACTCACTAATCTGTTCCTGTAACATGTAGTACTCTCCACTGGAATCTTTGGGCCATTGGTACTCAAACACCCTTGAAGCAGGAAATGTATGGCTACAAGGAAAAGTTTCATATCAAAGTAATATTAAGAAAGAGTTAAAGTGTATAGACATTTGAATAGGTATGTAGTATGGAATGAGTAGTAATGTATGAACTAAAAAAGTGTACTTCCCATATCGTAAAAAAGAAATATAATCAGGTGCATCATAAGTATATTTCTCAAAATAACAGAAACCCTATGATACTTTGAACAGGTTGTAAGGGAGATAACTCATACAGAAAAAAAATCACTCACTTTTCTAGATCCTCAGAAGCAGCCTCCACATTCGCACCACTGCCAGTGCTGTTCTGACGAGACCTTTTTGATGGTGTAGGACCTGCAGACACTGAGCCTGCATCTACTATGCTAGAGGCTGGGGTCGCTGGTCCGGGCGTATCAAACATGGCAGTTTCTGACTGTATTGATTCATCGTCCACCTCCATCGGAAGCTGGATGGTGCCAGACGAAATGAGAGCACTTTTACGATCCATTTCATTTGCATATTTTGTGTCATCAAAATTCTCTTTTTTTGAATCAAGAGATGAATCTGATGATGACATTTTAAAGGTCTCTGACACCAAATGACTGTCCTTGTTTCCATTATCTATGGGTGGATCACTGACATCTACTGTCTCTTTACCATTGTCAGACTTCTCCTGATTGCTGTCATTCTCAGATGGCTTTGATATTTCATTCTCACATACCATCATGACTTCAGCTTCAGAAGTATGATGCCCTAATTCAGATTGATCCATCATTTCTATTTCTGAATTGTTGAACTTATCTGGGGTTTTTTCTTCATTAGATTTTGTCTCTGAAGTTTCTACACTACATGGATTCTGGTCTGGCAGAACTTCATCTTTTGTAATTTGTGTTTGTTCGACAGCAGTAACCTCAGATTGGGGAATGATTTCGTTTATTCCGACAATATTTTGATGTTCCTTTGATTTCTGTGTTATTTCATTATTATATTCTGTTTGTGTTATTTCTGTACTGGGCCCTTCAGATTTGTCTATTGTTCCAGTACTGGGCCCTTCAGATTTGTCTATCGTTCCTGTACTGGGCCCTTCAGATTGGCATATCGTTTCTGTACTGGGCCCTTTAGATTTGTCTATCGTTCCTGTACTGGGCCCTTCAGATTTGTCTATCGTTTCTGTACTTGGCCCTTCAGATTTGTCTATCGTTTCTGTACTTGGCCCTTCAGATTTGTCTATCATTTCTGTACTTGGCCCTTCAGATTTGTCTATCGTTCCTGTACTGGGCCGTTCAGATTTGTCTATCGTTCCTGTACTGGGCCCTTCAGATTTGTCTATCGTTTCTGTACTGGGTCCTTTAGTTTCGTCAGTTATTTCTGTGCTGGGCTCCTCCATTTTGTCCATAATTTCTGTACTAGGTTCTTGAGTTTTTTCAGTTATTTCTGTGCTAGGCTCTTTGACTTTGTTCATTGCTTCTGTTCTAGGTCCTTTGATTTTGTTCTTTATTTCTGTACTAGGTTCTTCAGTTTTGTCTACAATTTTGATTCTGGTCTCCTCTGATTTTTCTGTAATGATTCCCTCTGATTTATCTACTATTTCTGAATTATGTGATTGTCCCTCTCTTATGTCTTCTAGTTCAGTACTGGATTCACCTGTAGTGCACAATTGATCAGTGCCACTATTTGGTTGTATTTGCTCGAGTTCCCTTCCACTTGCTGTGCCGTCTTTGTTCTGTTCAGATTTTGACAATACACCACAAGGATTTTCATTTGTCCATTCTTTGACGACTTCTAAATCATGATCATTCTTTATTTCTGCAGCAGTGGCTTGAAGTGTTGAATCCTAAAACATTCAAAAAAAATGTGTCTTTCTATAATTATGTATTTAATTTCTAAAACATGTCATGTATATATCAGTGTTTGCATTGATGCAGTTACATTAATATTCATATGAAATAAAACAAATATGCAGAAACCCCAAAGATTTCATCCCCTTTTTAATACTACATCGGCTAGCACTAACAATGCATTTTTATATTTTACAACAAGTACATTAATTTAATATATAAGTTACACTGGAAAACAGTGAAGAATACAAAGCATTCCACTGACTGCATGTCAGTGATCTGAATGAGAGGATTTTACAAAATGGGTTCCAATGACTAAATTTTTACTATAAATATAAACAGATTTTTGTCAGGTAGGTATGGACAGGGCCTTATGTATAGAGGGAATGGTAACTTACTCTTCTTCTAACTTTTTGACTTATAATTCCCTTGATTTACAGTAAGGGGAAAAGAGTGCTCTCTAGCTAATTCACATGGTTGAGGAATGCACAAATTGGTGTAAAAACAAACCAATCACTAGGCGCAGAAATATTCCACGATAAACGAACGCATTAATATTTGGACCGTTCTATAAGCAGACCTAAAAATGCACAGTTTCGGAGAATAAAAAACAATGTATAAAGAACATTATGCCCTTCTTTCACACGTCCACTGAATATCTAACGTATCTTAAAATCTACATGTGGTTTGACATTATTTTAGAAAGAAATAACGCAAACTAGCTATAGTCAGCATTTTAGTTCCGGTCAGGTACGTCTGGACCCCTCAATCTACACGTGCCAAATTTTCCAGATGTTAGCCTCGGTCCAGATCTGTGCCTGTCGTTTTCTTTACAGGCTCAACCATTTCAAATGGATACCCTAATGTACCCTAGTATAACTATTTGTTTATTTCATTATTATTGATAAGTTTATATTGTATCTACCTATGTAATCTGTGGTTCCACAGCAGTTGTTATATTCAAGATGGCCACTGACTTTGTACTGTTATATAAATACAAAACAAATCTGGATGTAAAATAATGACAATGCTTTTAATGAAAAAATACTATGATGGCACTTTTTGATGATCTTTCCCTTTAAATACTCTACTAACCTTTTTCAAAATCAATAGCACTATAAAACTAAATTATTTTCACATAATATGTGTTATTTTTGTGGTCGATCATTTTAAGTTGTGTTAATATTGTTTCAAATGCTAACTTATCATAAATTTTAGATTCCTTTATATACACGTACATAAGAACTTAAGAAGTGCATCAATTCATAACATACAAAAAAATTGAGGTTGTAATACAGACTTAAAAAGATGAGGGAATTCACAATCATCCTAAATAATCCATGGACTACATATGCTCAATTATGTTCTAAACATCCCTGGAATATGTCACGACAAAATTGAAAACTCAGTGTGTGCCACCTTGTGAATGAGAAAAGAAGACTAGTTTGATCCTTTGATTGACATCAAATGAATCTTTTAGTCAGTAAAATAACTGACTTTGAAGTCCAGTGTTACTTCTCTGTAATTTTCAAAGGTATCAGTGCAAGCATAGGGATTGGTCAGGTTTTTTTTTAACCTGAAACCCAGTCTAAGAATTGAGGATCAGCACAAAATAGACAATAGGTCTTTGGGATATTTTGGTAGACCAGAACTTGACCAAGAAAAGTTTACTTATTTCTTTAGTGTTTGATAACATGGAATATTCGAAAATATGTGTTATAATAAAGAAGACAAATATTTTCACAGATGAGTTTTTCTATCACTTTGATCCAGCAACCAGGTACCAGGATTAGGACATCAGTCGTGTGTTCAACGGTTTCCTGTTTAATTCCTATCTGGCCTTTGCATTTTCCCTTTCCTTTTAGATTTGGCGCCCCATTGTAATATATAAACGCGGGAGGAGGTATAGGATAACATGTTTTCAATGTCTAAAACTGTGTTTAAAGAGGGAGGAATATAGCGAAACTTGGTTTATAGAGTCTACTAGAATTCGGAGGGCCTGGGTTCGAATTCCGGTCTGGCCGTAGCGTTTTGTTTTCCTGATAGGTCTCTATACTAGGAAATATTTTCTTAAATTTGAGGTTTCATCTGAACAACAAGATTTTCTATATCTATATATTATGCCAATTTGGTATTTTTGGAGACTAGTAAGAAAAAATGCCATTGTACTTTCAAGCGTCTTTCTGGAAAAAAAGTGCTTGGTAAACAAAGAACGGATATAATTTTGTGTAATTTCTCTAATAGTCATAACTACAAATTCCTGTCTAAAAGACCTCTAATATAAAACTGAATATGTTTAAATTTACATTACCTCCAATTTTGACCTATCGTCAGTCATTTCATCAATACTATTCTTTTCTTTGTCGTTTTCGATTTTGCCGGTTTCAATGTCGGCCATTGTTGCGATAAATGATGTTTTCAACACAAAAGAGTTCGAAAATACTCGTTTTCTTCAATATTTTCAATATTCTGTTGATAAAAAGATTATTAGTTCATGAAGAATGATCATTTTCCTGATAAACAATATTTGAAAACAACGACCGATTTTAAAATGTAATAATATTACACAACAGCGATATATTCTAATCGTACCACCATTCAGGGGACATAACTCTCAGATCGAGACTGTCCATCGCTGCAGGCTGGAAAAGGTCACGGAATACGGGACACTGGCTACCCAGTCACACCCGGCGTTGCGGATGGCTCGCGTGAGCTCTGGGGCATCGCCTGGCTACAGCAGCGCGTCGCCAAACTAGACGGGTGCGTTCATGTCTGATAAAATTCCTGTATATTTCTAGGTAGTCAATTAGACAATTATTTGTTGGATTGTCTGGGTTAATTTTCTATTTTATTGACACTTTTGTTTACATTTTACATAAACTTTCAACCAATAGAAAAAAATGAATACTTTATAAATATGTTTTAATTGTGAAAAGCCTCCAATCTACGTAACATTCGTTTTACATTATATTAAATTTACGAATGGTAATGTTATCATAGTGATTCCATTTGAATATAAGAGTTAAAATTTATTTTTATTTTTAATAATTTAAAATTTAAGCAGGCACAACCGGAATCGAAAAGATATATTCACTACTTTAGTGGTATATTGGTTTTACAGTAAGTAGAATGTTTCAGTGAGGATACCAGGAACACACTTCTCCCTAGTCCACCTTCTACAACTGGCATTGGTTTATTTATTTTTAATGTAGAGATTTATCTTAAAAATAATTATTTTCAGAACGATAATTATTGCTTGGACCTATAAATGAATATAAAACAATGTATTGGGAAATTCTTAATATGAAAAACACGTGAATATATACTCCATATCAAATGTATGTGTATCCTAGACAAATATAGTCTGGTTATCAAAATCCTGATGGAAATTCAGAGGCATAATTTGCATGAACAACCCGTTTGATTTATATTCCTCCAAACGTCTGGAGGATGAACTGACTGATAAACTGTTACTTATAGACACTTCATAAAATCTCAAATACACCAAGGTCAAAATTAGCTATATCTTTTTAAAACACTTGATAACTAATATCAGTAAGAACTTAGCATACAAGCAAGCACATTTTTGCCATGTCCATTTATAAGATCATAATGTTGTGTTCTACTTGGTAATCGTTGCATGTATTAATCAGAATATTTTTTGATTTTAATGCCCCCAGCTGCATACTAAATAAGAAGTGTTTTTGAATATAACTGTCTAAGGGTATTAAGAAACTATTGAACTTTAGTGAATGTTTCGAACCAACATAGAAACTATGTCTAGACATTCCGTGTTAAATTTTCTAATATATCCTTGTAGGTATCTTTCAGAAACGTGGAAATGCCTTGTCTTTTTTAATTGAGAATTATAAACGTAACCCCCTAAGTATAATCAGTTGTAAGAGACACACATCCTGTGAAGACATGCCTGACATATCACCATGAAACGAAAGTACAGACATGTACACATGTCGGGTACATTCCATAAAACGACTCAACGTGTACGTGTCAGATCAGGGTCTACTTATTTATTTAAAAATCAAGAAGAATTTGTTACTGTAAAATGTTGTGTTAGGGTTAAGGAATTGTATAATAGGATAAACTTAGGTACAGTGAGGTGAGGGACCTACTTTGGTTACACATATGCACGGAACACGTGTTACAGCGGTGTCTATATAAACGACTGAAGTATTTAGACATTACTACGGTGGATCTAGAAGGAATTTAATGGGCTTCAGGACATCCCACACTCCCAGCCTNCCCCTTCCCCCTCCCCTTCCCCCTCCCGTCCCTTTCCCGGAGAAGCCCCTGTAGTTTTTAATTATATCATGTTTTTAACAGTAAACAGATACCATTTCTTACTTTGTAATAGTACAAGAATTTCATTGAAATCGTACTTGAATGTCCCCTTCATAATGGTAAACGAATAAAATCTGCCAAATCATGTTTGAAAATAGCGGTTATTCATGACCCAAACACCGTCAGTTGCAGTGGCGTTATTTTAGAATTTAAACAGTATCATGTTTGACACGTTCATCATCATAGTGTGAACGTGTGGAATTTTAATTTAGATAAATAAAAGTGTAACACGAACTTCCGCCATGCCCGCCGCTGGGTAAGGAGGACAGCGCTGTATAATGGTATTGACTGGCACAGTGTCTGGGTCCGCCGACTCTATCTATCATCTTCACGGCCACTCCGACTGGTCAATGATGAATCATGTAAGTCTGCTGGTCAGCCATATAGGTCACTTACACACGCAAGTCTTGACCACCACCAACGGAAAATATCAAAATTGTTTGCGACTTTTGAATTTATTGTCAATACAGTACAAAAGGATTGGTCACAAGTTTGACGATAACCACCAGTCTATAAATACTAGCAAAAATATACATAGGTTTCTCTGGTGTAGGAACATCAAACCTAAGCAGCAGTTAAGCATATTTATTCTATAACAGACCGTACCACACAATTCATCTTAAAACTGTCTATTAACACTCGGGCTATATTCCTTTACACTAGGGTGACGAGGATGTTAAAGGTTATTAGATGTTAACCTTCCATTAAACCCAGGGAACGTTCCTAACACTAATACTGTTTTGAAAATTAGTGTTACTTCATTATGGATTGTTTTTGGTGATGGGGGGAGGGATCGGAAGTTTGTTATTCCCTGCAAAATATTTTTAAGATAATTGAACATTATACAGAACTCGTCTTGAATAAATAGAAACTGAACTCTGTATTATATGACATGATTGTTGTCATTTTAATCTGAATTATTCCAGCTTATCAAAGACATCTTCAAAATATCATTCTGTTTTATAATCTGTTTGATTATTTGTGGCAGTGGTCACGCCAGCTGTTCCTATGTTCTGAACAGACATTCCTGATGGATATCCTTGTTATTGTCCTTCTTAACATCCTATGTACGTCAGTAATAACAATTTATATTTCAACATTGATGATATATATTAATATGTTAAGGTTTGTCTAGAGTCTTGAGTAATGTTCATTTATCTAATATCTGAAATAAATTGATGTTGTTAATGAAGTCCTGAAATGATACAAAAATACACTTCAATTAATTTTTATTTGAACATTTGTAATACATGAATAATTTGATGACAACAGTATCTTAATATATCAATAAAAACGAACATACAATCTCAACAGGCCTACTCTCATCACATCCCAGGAACTGATCAATTAATGAACATGTGTCAAGGTTTTTTTTCAACCGATCATTTAGCCTATATCTAGTGAAAATATTTCTTAAATCAGCACAAGTAATATTCAGATATCATTCTTGGGTATATATTTTATTTCTTTGCAGAGAAATATACTTAATTTACTGTATAATTTTTTATTTTTTTTAGTAATGTAAAAAAAATCATAAACAATATAAAAATACCATGAGTATAGTCCTTTCCTAAATTATAAAGGAGACTATGTTAAAAGAATTATAGTCAAGACATATGTGCACGAGGCAATATTTAATATCTCACAAAAATACCCAAACATCAAGACACTCAATTATTAAATGAAGGTGGTTCAAACACGTGTGTGATTTGAGTGTAACTAAGCTAGGATTTATAATACATGCCAAATCACATTCTTACCACTGCAGGTTGACAAGAAAAATATAATGTGTCACCAAATGTAATATGCAATATAACATGGGGATTTTAGCATTAACTGTGTAAGGATAAAACCGATGTCGTCTATTTTAAATGCAGCTGCGTACGTTTTTCTCCCTAAATAGGTGTCCCCTATCAGTCGGTGAACGACCTATCCGGTAGTGTGTATAAAAGCACATATTATACAGATTGTGTGTCAAGGCCAGGCCCCCGATCTGTAAACGATACATGTGCCGTTTGACGTCGCGTCTGTCTGCATATAAGGCATGTCTAGTGCATGTGTGCGTCAGTCAACTGTTAAAACCAAAGGGAGATAATTTTGTCCCATGCTATGTCTGGAAGTAGGGGAGGGGTCGTATAATTTGATTGAAGTTTACCCATCTTGGTTGTCAAACTTGCATTGATTTAATCAGTTGATTCCAGGATTGGAAAATGTTCCAAAAGTTTATATTGCCCCGCCCCATTTTCTGACCCGCAGTCTTCACCTGATATTGTATGCGCGGTTCCTGTATTTCCTTATAGACATTTTATATGCTTCTTTATATGATGTAAGGAGCTAAACCGTTTAACAGCCGCTTTTTGTTATAGAAATATTTTGAAACGTGGCTGGTCATGTGTGTACACCCCTGAACCCATCCTGAGCTTAGTTTAGTATGTTTCGTTAATATAATTAAATTGATATGATATGTTTAAGTAATATTTGCTATTAAATTTGAAATATTGAACAGCCACGTCCCAAATTTGTTAGTATATAAACAGTTTAAACACATATCCTCATCCTCTCACACACACACACACACACACACACACACACACACACAGACACCTCCCCTCCTCCCCCTCACACACACACACACACACTCACACCCCTCCCCCTCACACACTCACGCCCCCTCCTCCCCCTCACACGCACACGCATCCCCCTCCACTCCTCTCACACACACACACACACACACACACTCACACCCCTTCCTCCTCACACACTCACATCCCCTCCTCCCCCTCACACACTCACGCCCCTCCTCCCCCCTCACACACACACGCATCCCCTCCACCCCTCTCTCTCACACACACACACACACACACACTCACACCCCTCCCCCTCACACACTCACGCCCCCTCCTCCCCCCTCACACACACACACGCATCCCCCTCCACCCCTCTCTCTCTCTCACACACACACATCCTCCAACATGAACAATTTTAGGATACTGGACATTTAACAAGATGTTCTGCAACGAGAGCTACGTTATTGATACCAATGGAAATATTAGAATAACAATGTTCTCAGGCACTCCGAGACGATACATAACAGAAATGTGCCCGTCTTTAGGTACCGGCTCTACATTATTGTGACACAATGGTCCTATTCAAAATGTAATTCTGGGAGGTGGGCTGACTCTTTTTATATTCTTGGCAAACGGATATTTCTGAACTCCATAACAACATGTTTAATAGGACAACAATGGCGAAAACTGAAAGTTCGGATGGCCGATCGATCGTCCTGGATTTATATCCAAGACATTCAATTATAGGTTTTAATTATGACAAGATTTTATTGAAAGTCTCCGATAATCACAGGATGTACCTTACACGGAAAATGCATAATGCATTGGAAAAATTACTTCGATACTTTTCTTCACCTAGTAATTATGTCTTCCGTGAAGGAGGAGGGGATATTGTATTATTTTTTTATCTTTCTCAGAAATTAATTAATGTTAGTTTGAGGAACAGTTATTTTTTTCAAAGAGTATATTATAAAAGAATACAAATATATAATAGAATCGCTATAATACGTTAATACCATTAAGTTAGAGGGCTGCGTATCAGTCATCAGATACAGGACCACCTTACTGACAGTACGGAACGCTTCACAAACTATGTTTGTATTTTCAACGGAACCCATATGGCATGTCGCTGGTAGGTTCACATACAATTTATAACTGATATACTATTTTATTTAGAATTCATTTTATTCATAATTACTAGTTTAAAATATGCAATGTAGCAGCACTTTACAGAAATATGATGAAATCAAAATTTGCAATTCATGAATGTATTACATATGAATTATTCATGAACTGTTACATATTGACTAATATTTACTATCAATGGTCAATCATTTTTAACGCTATATAAATCGTTACATGCTGAGATTGAACATACATGGTCAATTTGACTACAATGTTTAATCATTTATATTGTTACATACTTATATTTACTATCAATGGTCAATCATTTCTGTCATTACAATTCATTTATACCGCTACATACTAAAACGGACTATTAATGGTCAATTCATTTGTATCGTTCCATATTTATATTTACTATCAATGGTCAATAATTTCTGTCATTACAATTAATTTATATCGTTACATACTAAAACTGACCATAGATAGTCAATTTATATTTATATCATTACGTACTAGATGTACTATCATGTCAATGGTCAGTTATTTATATTGTTACATACTAGATGTATTATCAATGGTCAATAATTTACAATTCATTTATATCGTTACATACTAAAACTGACTATTATGGATAGTCAATTCATTTATATCGTTACATACTAAAACTGACTATGGATGGTCAATTTATATTTATATCATTCCATACTAGATGTACTATCATGTCAATGGTCAGTTATTTATATCGTTACATACTAAAACCGACTATGGATGGTCAATTCATTTATATCGTTCCATACTTATATTTACTATCAATGGTCAATCATTTCTGTCATTACAATTCATTTATATCGCTACATACTAAAACTAACTATTGATGGTTAATTCATTTATATCGTTACATACGAAGCTTGCCTGTCAATGGCCAGTCATTTAAATTTGTACATACTTAGAGTATCAATGATCAGTTATTTAAACATAAGGGTCAGTCATTTATGCTTATCATTTATCATTATGGCCAACGAATCTGTATTTGGTTTTAAAACAAATTTTGTACAAAAGGATCGGAACATCAGCTATTTCTCACGAGGAAAAAGGGGATTAATTGCCTTGCTGTAACATTTCTTGTATGTTTCCCGTGCTTATAAATAGAGGCTGGCCAACCACTCTCATGTGTCTTCCGTCCTTGTAAATAGTGGCTGGACAATCACTCTTATGTATCTTCCGTCCGCGTAAGATCACTCTTATCTGTCTTCCGTCCTTGTAAACAGTGGCTGGACAATCACTCTAATGTGTCTTCCGTCCTTGCAAATAGTGGCTGGACAATCCCTCTCATGTGTCTTCCGTCCCTGTAAATAGTGGCTGGGCAATCACTCTCATGTGTCTTCCGTCCTTGTAAATAGTGGCTGGACAACCACTCTTATGTATCTTCCGTCCTCGTAAGATCACTCTTATGTATCTTCCGTCCTTGTAAGATCACTCTTATGTATCTTCCGTCCTCTTAAGATCACTCTTATGTGTCTTCCGTCCTTGTAAGATCACTCTTATGTATCTTCCGTCCTTGTAAGATCACTCTTATGTGTACCGTCCTAAAGTGCACTATGAGAAAACTGTTGGTAGTCATCGCAGACTTTTATCATTGTTTATATAAAAATGCAGAAGATTTTTCAAATTTTACTTGCTAAACATTAATATTGCTGTCTGTTAACGTGTGAGCAAACCATTCAAGGCTGGACCCATTTAACATGAAATTGTACGAATTTTTGAAGATTTTTAGATTTCACTTTTATGTTTACTTTATTTTAAACCTGATATTTTCATATTCAGTGTTTCCTGTACAGATACCAAACTTACGATCAAACATTGGTCTAACTACAAAACAATTAAATGTATCACGGAAAACGGTGTTTTTAGTCCGTGATATTTATGCGCGCAGGACGCTAATATAGGAAAAAGGGATGTACATTATTTGTTTCTGGTACGATTTTATTTGATTGGTTAACGATGGACAAACTTACAAATCTTTCTCGTTCTGTTTCCATCTAATTACATTAAGCCATGCGGACACACTATAGCGGTACGAGGGATATTGCTGTTTTTACCGATGTAGACTTTAAACATTTCTGTAATATATCGGTGAACAAGCCACTGGAGGAATCCTTCTCTGTGCCTTTTCTGTTTATAGGTTAGATTTAAAGATACTTTGATTGGAATGTGCATTTTTGTATATAGATATTCTAATTCATAGCAGTGCAACACACTGTAATGTATCTCCTAATCTTTTTAAGGGAATTGTTGCATGACTTTATTTCACTGCATCATGCTAAAATTAAAGGCAAGAGCAGCGATCCCAAAAAGGTGTTTTTTTTGCGCGCGGAACGTATCAACATTTTATGTACAGGTAACAAAACGTATTGTATGCACAGATAACGTCACTAGTAAGTATGGTATCTTAACATAGTTTCGTGGCCTTAATAGTGTTATTGTATTATTTAGTGTTACATAACAGCCGTGTAACAGCTTGGCTCAGGGATATCACGGTAAATATTTCGGAACGTTTGACAAGTGTCTTGGTTGTCATCATTGTTATGCTGCAATAAACCAATCGTTACGCGCAACACATTTTTCACGGCGGTGGCACTGACTTCTTAACAAACAATTCATTTTGTTTCCTTGTTAGTGCTTGAAATGACCAGAGAGGGTCCGAGTAGTCGATATATAAAATCAGAGGAAGACCGAGTAGATCGCAAATTGAAAATCAACAAAGATAATACAGTATATGGCATTGTATTTAAGAGTGATATTGTAATTTGCTGTAAATGGTTTCGAAGTCTGCATTTGTATTCTTCTGATAATATTCATAAATGGAATCCTCCGTTGATGAAAAGTAAAGACATTGGACAATTCAAATCGTCTCTGCATTATCTGTATCTCTGGTGTCTTTTTCAGGAATGTCTGCGACACAGTTTGAGGATAACACCAGCATTTCAAAGTTGATGGCCGGGGCACTGTTAATGGATAATGAATGCAATGAACTTCCGTTTACTTGGCCTGACAACGCAGTCACCTCATCGTCAAGCGTCAAGAATGAGCGGGAAACCAACAACTTCCCGCCAAATGTTGATTGTTGGCAGATGCAAAACCACACATCAGCATTTTCAAATAACTACCCGTATATTCCTCAACAAAATAACGGATACGGGCCTGTCCAACACAATGGCAGCTTAAACACCACCACCACTAATGGTGACCAAGTTCAAGGTCAAAATGGACTTGTGTCTGGCAGTAGTGCATTAAAACCGGTGCAGGATCAGTATCGTCATAAGTACGGCACTTATGGCAACGAAAAGTATCCCGACTTTAATATAGCCGTGAAAGCTGAAACGTGTGATACCAGTAAATGGAGTCAATGTGCTGTTAATTCTACTCCGAACTTCAACCAGTCCAGAAATGTCCACGGTAGCGCACAGGGCGAACAGTTCTCACCAAAGTCTTTCAAATCTTTAGATAATGGAGTCGGAGGGGGCAGCATTGGCGGAAAGCAGACGCCGGGAGGATCGTCAACAGATCTGTCAGGCAAAAAGAGAACATTCGAATTAGTAGAATCGGACGACAGTGATTCTAAAACAAGCGGAACGGACGGAAGCCAAAGTGGCGGAAACGGTAGTCGGCCTGACCTGCAGTGCTACTGCGCACCCGTTGACATTAACGTCAATCAGATGATCACCAGTGGTGTAACTGTGGCTGGTTATAAACCAAGGAAAGTGATATGTAAGCGGAAAAAAGCATGCGTCCCCACGGATCAGAAAGATAATGGATACTGGGAGAAAAGGAAGAAAAACAATGACTCTGCTCGACGTTCCAGAGAAGCGAAGAAAGAAAAGGAGCGCAACTTTTACAAACGCGCGCTGGAGTTGGAGTATGAAAACCATTGTTTGAAAGAGAGAATTGCCTTTCTTGAAAGAAAACTAGAACTTTCGATGCAACAAAATCCTAATTTTAGTTGCCCTGACGCGTAGTGTTCCTGTATATATATACTTGTGTATACCTAGATTTATTCCAAAGACGAGGTCGTCCATTTTGGAGGACACACTCCTGACAAATGGCATCGATCACTGATATATACTACATTACTCGAGAGAAATGTTTATGTAAGTAGGTATAATACATATATATAGACAAGTGTTCATTATTGTTTAGCTTTATGTCCGTCCACAAAGAGTTGAGGCTGGTATCAAAAGAAAGAAGTCTATATGCTTGGGCAAATTCTTTATGATGGATGGCACTAACCCCTAAGTTTCTACAGATTTTTAATATTTTCTCTCTAACATGGCATCAAATGCTGTGTTTATTGTAGCATTTTTGTATTCTTGAATTGTCTGCCTTTTTATCTTTAAATTAATAGTCCTCGTATCGTTGCCACGCTTCGTGTGATTCAGATAGGTGATATGTAAGTAGATCTAGCCGCCCTTCCTCAGGGGCCGTAACTCCATTCCTAGAGTGTAGTTAGAAGTAAGATTGTTTCTATATATAATCATTTGTGCATGGAAGTTCAAAACTTTCCTACGTCGTTGCGTCAACCATACATCACCGATGTTGCTTACCATGTTTTTTTGTGATCATGCACGCTACCGTGTGTTTATGCCAAAGTTTGAAAAACTGACATGTCTACCCCCCCGTGCTTTTTGAATGTTGGTTGCTTTTTATATGTTTGTACTACATGTTATAAATCTGGCTTTTTGATTTATATATTTACAATGTTGACATATTTCACACGAGATTCGTTTTTTAGATGTTTTCTAGGTGCTAAGGAAACCAAGATGGTAATTTTTAGTTAATAATATGAAGTTTGCAAACCAGTTTTAAGTTTAAGTATGGTACAACTATTCTGACCTTTGAGTTAGTAAGGTACTGTGTTTTGTTTAACGTATATCTTGGACCCATCAAGTGTTCAAATGAAATGCACGTCTTCATTAATATGCAAATATAAATGTTTAACTTAACTGTAAAAATCATATTCAAAACTTACGTTTATGAATTTTTAAATTGTTTCAATGAAATGGGAATATTTTCAATTGCGGATAAATTTACAACTTCTTGAGTGAGAAACATGTAACACCTGTTTGTAAGATTTCATGTATAATTTTATTTTAACACGAAAACACTGCATTATCACTAGTATTCAAACCAAAATAAATACTAAAAAGCAATCGAAATGAACCTTAGTTGACTTAAGTATGGTGCTTAATAGAGAGTGTTAGCTGTGAAACGTTAACAATTGAATTTTATGTTATGTCCTTGAAAGTAAACATTGAATTGTGTAATATTACTGAAACAGGTATATGCCAGTCATACACAGAGTGTCTTTTGACGTTATATGTCCGTCATTTCATCCGTCACTTTGTAGTCAGACCAAACCAGTATGAAGTGTTTCCTCACTAGAGAATGGATGCCTAATGGACATACCTTGTCACAACTGTCGACACTTTCCGAATTGCAATCGGAAACCATCTGTACTTTCCGTAAACGTTACGGAAAGTGCCGACGGTTCCCGATTGCTGGTAATATTCAGCTGCTACAAACGCAAGTCAACAAGCACAATCGTCACGTCTTAATTGAAAGTTGAGGATTATAAAAGACTTAATTAGTAAAAAAAAAAAAAAATGAAAAAAAGTATGTACTGAACAGTTGAAGATATATAGAGTAGTATTCATTTTTCAAAAAAAGTAATATTTACTGAACAGTGCAGACGTTCAATGCATGTCCTAACATTAGCGATAGTCGTTACTGTTTTATTTGTTCTTAACCAGCTACCGTGTTCAAACCCGTTAAGTTACGAGGAGTATAGTGTTAGTGGTTGTGATACGGCAGAGATTTATATCATAATAGTGTTGGTTATATTTTTCATTAATACCATTAATTAGGTTGTCAATATTATTTAGCTATGCATGTAGCTTATGTTCCATTATTGTTGGATTGGTAATGTCAGAGATGAAATCGTGCTGTTATTGTTGTAATATATTACAATGCTGTTGGATTGACCGATAAGGTATAAATTGAGTTATCTCCCATTGTCCATATACCACTGTTTCAGCACCTATAATGAAGAAACGATTACCTTTTCCTTAGTAGCTTACTTTATAATTGCTTTGGTAAGTAAATGGCAATGTATCTTCATGACGGCAGCAACACAATGTTTTTATAGATTGTATACGAGCCGTGTGGTAGCCGACTCCGACGTCCACGTTTCCGCCAGTAACATCCCTACTTACCACATGTAAATATACTAAGATGATTGAGTGTGATGCTTTACCTTCACTTATTTTCTAGTCATGTTTGTCCCAATAATGGTAATAGATCGCCTTGCAATGTGTACAACAATCATTTATATCCGGCCTAACCTCTTTCTGTTTCATCGGGCTCCTTAACTTGACAGATAAAGCAGTCTAGATGTAGCGCTTAGCATACTTTTGAAAAATATTATAAAGAATATTGTAACAAATATCAGTTTTTCCTTTATACACAAATAATGTACGTATTAAACGTGTTGTAACGTTTCAAGACCGAGACATATTGATATTGTAAAATTATTGTAATTATCCCAAAAAAAATCAACTTTACATATGATTGGCTTCTAAATGATCTTTGTGAAAAAATATAAGTTAAAGTTCATAATTTGTTTCGGAAAATAATTACTTAAATCAGCATCTTCAATATGAGCCTGGTAAAAAGGATCTGTGAAAGCAAGGCATTGATTGGTGGGTTTAAAAGTCCGGGGATTATATAGCCATCTTTTTGAAACATTGTGCACAGAGTCATTTGTGTTAAAGTTACTCATGCAAGGCTGCATGTAAGAAAAAGTAATTCACACAACAGTGACCAATTCATGGGAAAGCTAGCACATAATACGCACACAAATGTATTATATAAAGAATACATATCGAATGATGGTTGATTATCCTATAGAATGAGTTTATTCTCGAAGAAAACCGATACCACCTTCAGCAAGAAAATCAAGAGCTTTAAACATTTGACGTACATCACAAGTTGGTAAGCTGTTTTTATCCCATAAAGCATATTAATATTTATGTATCACGTGACATTATAATGAAAGTGTGACGTCAACAAATATTGTGACGTCATGCCGCGTAATGATATTTTTCACATTGTGAAATTATCGAAAACAATAATCAAATACTGAGAGTGAGGACTTCCAAGTTATAGGATAAAACACATGTAACACAGGTGTGTACTGTCTACATACAATTAAAATACCTACACAGTGATTGTGTATTAGAGCATGGCTCCTAGCATGTCACATACATAAGTAAATGTATTTGTATACATAAATTACATTGATGTATACATACACTTTAGACACCAATATGTTCTCATTCTGTATGTGTTTAGACCATCATTTGTGCTGTTTTTGACCTATTTTATAGACGTTTAGCGGTTTTTGGTTTTCATAACTTCGCAATTAACATTTTTATATACTGCCAACCCATGCAATTTACTTATTTATGTATGTGATAAATGTAGTTCTCCTGTTACATGTTTCTCTCCCTGTCTGTCGTCCGGCACGTGTTCCTTCAATTGCAAGTATCTGTCTGATCGTCCTGTTCCTCAATCATCAACCTGTATATGTACCATGGCATATATCACAAGTTGATGGAAACTTGAAAGTTATCTTTTATTTTAATCATATGAATGTATAAGTTGCCACCTAACCTCAGACTATAGAGAGAAACATATCACAGGACGCATACATATAATTTTAACCCCTTTTATGTACAAATAATTCAGTCTTGCTTCCTCCATTTATTTCTTTTGTTTTTCAAGTTTTTATTATGTTCATTCCACTTGTTTAATTCCATTTTGTCTCTAATTCGACTTAATATATATTTCTGTGTGTGTTTCAGTTCCATGTATAAATACGTGTGATAAGCAGTTTCCAGTTTAGATACAGCTTCGAAAACAATATTTATAACGGTATCTGTAAGTGTTGAGCATTAGCCGATTGCTTAAACTGTTTTACTCCCAAACACGAAAACAACGAACTAAACTATATAATATGGCAGTACTAATTTAAATATGTAGCGGGCTAGTTCCCATGCAAAGTGTGTAGGCTACAGTTATCTGTTCTACTGATGTTTTTACCTACGGTGCGCAATTCATGTTACACCAGTCATGTCGTACTGCAAATGACATATTTTTCGGGGCTTTTACTTATTCGCGAGAGTTAATCCGCAAAGACAAAAACAAGTTTTTATTATATCTTGCTTAACTATATATGAATGAATATTTACGAGATATCTAAATTCCCGATCGACTTCCAAAACGTCTTAACACGAAATCATGTATCGCGAGATATGACAGATTTACAGTATGTACAATAAAAACCTTGTATTTTCATGCAATATCTCAATGAAAAACTCCATCGTAAGTATTACAGGAAAGAATTTAACATGTAGGCCTATATATGAATAAATGTAAGAAAGTTCTGCTTTTATTTGAGTCAAAGATTGTACCCTTGAATCATTTCGTTTTCTGCTTTTCAGTCCAGCTCAGATATTTATATAAATATCTCAATATATAACCAGATCGTGGGCTGACTGATTGCTGCCAACTGTTTTGTGCATTCCCGTTGATACATTTTATTCAGAATTATCTCCCCTTGAAAAGGTCGAATTTGTTTTACAGACACCAAGGATGTGTATGACTATGCATAAAAAAATACCGTATGTACTAGTATTATTACTATAGGTTTGATAACAGCTGCTGTGTCAACTGATTATACAAATTCTGAAATTTCAGTAATATGGGAGTTGAAACTGTAAAAGGATCCCGGATATTCCATTACTAAAGGGAGATCAATTTCCTTTGTCAGACTTTATGGCTTTTGCCGCTCCGATCTTGTGTTCAATTGTATACAGGTTTGAAGCTGATCTCACCGACCCTAGTTTTCAATAGTACTCCGCCCGTTCCAGTGTTTGGATGTTGTAATTTGTCCACGTTAATTTAGTGACATTTAGATAGGCCATGTTTAACTTAATTTTCCTGAATTGTAAACCAAATCAATTGACGATTTCTATTCGAAGTAGACGGATGTACGGTACTATTTCAATAACTTCTGTTTCTTTTATAAGTATTCCCTGCTGTGATTTACTTTGAATATATATATAAAAAAAAACGATTGCACAAGAAGTACCAACCATTGACACGATGTCAACACATACATTGAAAACTCTTTAATTCTCATTTTTGTTTGTTAGGTGAACCTATAGTGCGAGGAAAGTTCAAATTTTTGATTCTTTCTTTTTAAAACGTCAACTCTCCAGCCACACTGGTAGTAATTCGAAATACATTTTATAGTAAACATAGGCTGTCTTGGCCGCTAGTGGAACTATACTTTATATAGTGTAATGCGCACCATTGGCAGTGTACTGGAACTATATCATAAAGTATACATATGCCTCTTTAGTAGCTATTGAAGCTATATTTTATAGTATACATGCGCCGGCCATTTTGGCAGTTAATGAAACTATAAAATTGTATGTATTCATGTTCGCCTTTTGGCAGTTATTCCGTCTTTGCGTATTGCAGAGTTATCTTCTCTTGTGAGCAGGTATTGATTGTTACGTCATTTGTTTGTGAGAGTAACGTCATCAATTTTTGAGAAACCGATGTAATTTTCTCACACAAACCAATGACGTACCAAGCACTACCTGCTCACAAGAGCAGATAACTCTGCAATACGCAAAGACGGAATAGTGGTACTGTATACGCCACCTTCGAAGTTATTGTAACTTTGTTTTATAGTATACATGCGCCATTTTGGCAAATAATGGAACTGTAATTCATATTATAAGTGACTTCAGACAGGGCAAGCTCGTTGGGCCAATAATTAGCATATATAACCAAACACGTGACTGAATTGAAATTAGCCGTTTATTTTGTATAGACGACAATTGAAATATGAACATATTTCTAAACCATAAGCCATTATGGAACATGTGCATAAAATACTTTGGTCCTAGGTGGAAATAAAACCGCCGCTATGGTTTCTGATGAATGTCACAATTTATACATGCTCAGAAATGTTTTCATTTCGCCACTTTGGCAGTTAGTGGCACTATATCTTATAGTATACATAAGTCACTTTGACAGCTAATTGCAAAATTTCGACCACTTCCGTCAATCAAGATTCAGATAGAAATCTTGACGGAATTCCGAGAGCCATTGCGATTGGGGGGAATTATGTTTTATAGTATTTATACGCCACACTGACAGTAGTAGTATACACGCATGATATAGAAAACAAATCCTTCTACATTGTTGTGTTCGTAAAAAAAAACTCTTATTTTTATGTTGAAGTTTTATAGTTAACATCCCGCCATTATTGTGTTGACCAGTACTGGGTTACCTGCCCTTAGTTTAATAGGTACATACAGTGGAGCTGTCTCCGTGAGATGCCATTAGTTCTGTTCCCTTTTCTGTGAGTGTCCACATATTGTACACGGATTTCAGAGCTTCTGTTGAAATCCGAAGTTTGAAAATGTGATGAAAATAAATAAACCTTATTGTTTCACTTTTGTTCTTTCTTGTTATTGTATACTAGCTGTATCTCCAAAATCATACAAACCTTAGTTTTTGCGAAACGTCAGGTATGAACGAGCATTTTTTGGTAGATTTCGCGCTTGGCAAGAACGCTCATAACCATTTGTAGAACTCATATCATTCGCGGATACATTTGAACTCGCAAGAATACACAAATCTTACTGAGGTTTCCACCAACTCGCCATAAAAAGATTAGCAAAGTCATTCGCGAGGGTTCGCTGAAAACACTCCTCTCAATATTTAGATATACTATTCATTGTTAAACGCTTTCCGGATCATCCCTTGCGAATAATCTTATTCAACTCCATTCAGGCTGACCAAATAAACCCTGAATTTTCTTTTATGGTGCTATCATTTAAATAAAATTGAAATCGCTATAATTTAAAGGTGTACTTATTTCCAATAGGGACGGGTGTGTATATATATCGGCCGTAGACAGGACACGGGTTTTATATGTACGCTTTTATGTAAATTCGAGATAAGAAAAGATCCATCCAATAACTCACACCTGCTTTGTTATTCATTTCTCTCTGCTGGCTTCTGTAGTTGCGTATGGCACGCACGGTATACTAAAGAGATCTTTAAACTATTCAATTACGACCAATTCAAAGTACAATGTGGTTTCAAATGACATAGACTAACAAAATACGTACGATTATAATCTACATTAGATATCACAGAGTAGGTATAGTGGGTAGGGTAGCGAGGACTGTTTAAACACCCTCACTATAAACACCATCGGAAGGTCAAATTCTATATACTTTACTGCAAGAATGGCAAAGGATTTAGAACTACACAAAAGAACAGCTTTTAATAATACGATTTAGAACATGCATCGAAACTCTGATCTATGGATTAAACGATTATAATAATTGTTCTCCTTGTATGCTACTGGCTAGGGAGAAAATGGCTGCCAGGTAAACCTAGAAACCTGTTATCTGTGGATATGAGTTTTCCAAACAAATTAATATAAAGATGGATTTTACACTGCATCCATGACAGAGGCCTGGGACAAGATCATGGACGATTCGTCAGACTCCAGTGACGATGAACCCGCCGCGGAATTGATCAAAAATGACGCTAAAGGAGACAAGAAAAAGGACGAAAAGAAAAAAGAGGATATGAAAAAATCAGAGAAAGGTTCTGCACGTTCAAGATTGAAAGATAACAGGTTTTCATCGTTTGGTGGTAAGTTATCTGTGATAGTGGTGTGGACATACCCACCTGTATAATGATAAACTTAGGAAGGGGCGACAGATATACAAATAAGAGCAGCTTTATTGTTGTTATGTATATTGTGTGAACCCCCATAGGCACCAACACATAAACATATGTCTGTAGGTTGTGTCGACGTCATACAGGACGGTTATAAAGGTAGTGTTGTCGAAGATGTTCTTACTTTCACTATATGGTGTCTAGTTAATGGTGACTTGGTGTGTAGTTCTCGGCGATGATTCTGTGACGTCATATGTGCCTAATATGTGTAACACTTGATAACTGTCAACTAACTGTCAATTGAAATTATGTGTCTGACGCTTGTCTAGTTGTTATCACACTTATCTAGTGGGTGTAACACTGGGTATACATATAACTGTCCATTGTAATTATGTGTCTGACGCTTGTCTAGTTGTTATCACACTTATCTAGTGGGTGTAACACTGGGTATACATATAACTGTCCATTGTAATTATGTGTCTGACGCTTGTCTAGTTGTTATCACACTTATCTAGTGGGTGTAACACTGGGTATACATATAACTGTCCATTGTAATTATGTGTCTGACGCTTGTCTAGTTGTTATCACACTTATCTAGTGGGTGTAACACTGGGTATACATATAACTGTCCATTGTAATTATGTGTCTGACGCTTGTCTAGTTGTTATCACACTTATCTAGTGGGTGTAACACTGGGTATACATATAACTGTCCATTGTAATTATGTGTCTGACGCTTGTCTAGTTGTTATCACACTTATCTAGTGGGTGTAACACTGGGTATACATATAACTGTCCATTGTAATTATGTGTCTGACGCTTGTCTAGTTGTTATCACACTTATCTAGTGGGTGTAACACTGGGTATACATATAACTGTCCATTGTAATTATGTGTCTGACGCTTGTCTAGTTGTTATCACACTTATCTAGTGGGTGTAACACTGGGTATACATATAACTGTCCATTGTAATTATGTGTCTGACGCTTGTCTAGTTGTTATCACACTTATCTAGTGGGTGTAACACTGGGTATACATATAACTGTCCATTGTAATTATGTGTCTGACGCTTGTCTAGTTGTTATCACACTTATCTAGTGGGTGTAACACTGGGTATACATATAACTGTCCATTGTAATTATGTGTCTGACGCTTGTCTAGTTGTTATCACACTTATCTAGTGGGTGTAACACTGGGTATACATATAACTGTCCATTGTAATTATGTGTCTGACGCTTGTCTAGTTGTTATCACACTTATCTAGTGGGTGTAACACTGGGTATACATATAACTGTCCATTGTAATTATGTGTCTGACGCTTGTCTAGTTGTTATCACACTTATCTAGTGGGTGTAACACTGGGTATACATATAACTGTCCATTGTAATAATGTGGCTGACGCTTGTCTAGTTGTTATCATACTTATCTAGTGGGTGTAACACTGGGTATACACATAACTGTCCATTGTAATTATGTGTCTGACGCTTGTCTAGTTGTTATCACACTTATCTAGTGGGTGTAACACTGGGGATACATATAACTGTCCATTGTTATTATGTGTCTGATACTTGTCTAGTTGTTATCACACTTATCTAGTGGGTGTAACACTGGGTATACACATAACTGTCCATTGTAATAATGTGTCTGACGCTTGTCTAGCTGTTATCACACTTTTATCTAGTGGGTGTAACACTGGGTATACATATAACTGTCCATTGTTATTATGTGTCTGATACTTGTCTAGTTGTTATCACACTTATCTTGTGGGTGTTGACTCTATTATTCAACCACTATTTATTTTACAATTATGAAGGATGTTTATCCAATTTATATTAATCACTTTCTGGACCGAATGGAACCGCACCTAGGATCTTATGTTGGAGGAGAAAACTGATGCTGTCGAACAGATGGCCCAATACTTTTCCACATCTGATTGAGGAATCGAACCCAGGTCGTCTTGGTAAAAGGCGAGTGCGTTATCAACTGCACCGGTCGACCATCATGTCTCATCACACTTGGTTATGTTGACAACATGTAGTTGTCAGTGTTCGATGATCCTATTCTTTCACACTTGTCTAGATTGTTTTGACACTGAAGTTGTCAGCAATGTATTACCACAATTGTTAGGCTTGTTGACACCGTGTAGTTGTCAGTGATGTGTTATCGCACTTGTTTGGCTTGTCGACAATGTGTAGTTGTCAGTGATGTGTTATCGCACTTGTTTGGCTTGTTGACACAGTGTAGGGTTCAGTGATGTGTTATCCCACTTGTTTGGCTTGTTGACACAGTGTAGTGTTCAGTGATGTGTTATCCAACTTGTTTGGCTTGTTGACACAGTGTAGTTGTCAGTGATGTTGTCACACTTGTTTGGCTTGTTGACACAGTGTAGTTGTCAGTGATGTGTTATCACACTTGTTTGGCTTGTTGACACTATGTAGTTGTCAGTGATGTGTTATCACACTTGTTAAGCTTGTTGACACTGTGTAGTTGTCAGTGATGTGTTGTCACACTTCTTTGGCTTGTTGACACAGTGTAGTTGTCAGTGACGTGTTATCCCACTTGTTTGGCTTGTCGACAATGTGTAGTTGTCAGTGATGTGTTATCACACTTGTTTGGCTTGTTGACACAATGTAGTTGTCAGTGATGTGTTATCACACTTGTTAAGCTTGTTGACACTGTGTAGTTGTCAGTGTTGTGTTGTCACACTTCTTTGGCTTGTTGACACAGTGTAGTTGTGAGTGACGTGTTATCCCACTTGTTTGGCTTGTCGACAATGGGTAGTTGTTAGTGATGTGTTATCCCACTTGTTTGGCTTGTCGACAATGTGTAGTTGTTAGTGATGTGTTATCCCACTTGTTTGGCTTGTTGACACTATGTAGTTTTCAGTGATGTGTTATCCCACTTGTTAAGCTTGTTGACACTGTGTAGTTGTCAGTGATGTGTTGTTACACTTGTTTGGCTTGTTGACACAGTGTAGCTGTCAGTGATGTGTTATACCACTTGTTTGGCTTGTTGACACTGTGTAATTGTCAGTAATGAGTAATCACACTTGTTTGGTTTGTTGATACTGTGCAGTTGTCAAAGATGTGTTGTCACACTTGTTTGGCTTGTTGACATTGTGTAGTTGTCAGTAATGTGGAATCACACTTGTTTGCTTGTTGATACTGTGTAGTTGTCAAAGATATGTTGTCACACTTGTTCCACTGTTGACACTGTGTAGTTGTCAGTGATGTGTTATCACACTTGTTTGACTTGTTGACACTGGGTAATTGTCAGTAATGTGTTATCACACTTGTTTAGCTTGTTGACACTGTGTTATTGTCAGTAATGTGTTATCACACTTGTTAAGCTTGTTGACACTGTGTAGTTGTCAGTGATGTGTTGCCACACTTGTTTGGCTTGTTGGCAATTTGTAGTTGTCAGTAATGTGTTATCACACTTGATTCGCTTGCTAATGCTGTGTAGTTGTTAGTTATGTGTTGTCATTCTTATTTGGCTTGTTGACACTTTGTAGTTGTCATACTTGTTCCATTGTTGACACAGTGTAGTTGTCAGTGATGTGTTATCCCACTTGTTTGGCTTGTTGACACTGTAGTTGTCATACTTGTTCCTTTGTTGACACTGTGTAGTTTTCAGTGATGTGTTGTCACACTTGTTTGGCTTGTTGACACAGTGTAGCTGTCAGTGATGTGTTATACCACTTGTTTGGCTTGTTGACACTGTTTAGCTGTCAGTGATGTGTTATCCTACTTGTTTGGCTTGTCGACACTGTGTAGTTGTCAGTGATGTGTTATCCCACTTGTTCCATTGTTGACACTGTGTATTTGTCAGTGATGTGTTATCCCACTTGTTCCATTGTTGACACTGTTTAGTTGTCAGTGATGTGTTATCCTACTTGTTTGGCTTGTTGACACTGTGTAGTTTTCAGTGATGTGTTATCCCACTTGTTCCATTGTTGACACTGTGTATTTGTCAGTGATGTGTTATCCCTCTTGTTTGGCTTGTTGACACAGTGTAGCTGTCAGTGATGTGTTATACCACTTGTTTTGCTTGTTGACACTGTTTAGCTGTCAGGGATGTGTTATCCTACTTGTTTGGCTTGTTGACACTGTGTAGTTTTCAGTGATGTGTTATCCCACTTGTTAAGCTTGTTGACACTGTTTAGTTGTCAGTGATGTGTTGTCACAATTGTTTGGCTTGTTGACACAGTGTAGTTGTCAATTATGTGTAATCACACTTGTTTGGCTTGTTGACACGGTAAAGTTGCCAGTGATGTGTAATCACACTTGTTTGCTTGTTGATACTGTGCAGTTGTCAAAGATGTGTTGTCACACTTGTTTGGCTTGTTGACAGTGTGTAGTTGTCAGTAATGTGGAATCACACTTGTTTAGCTTGTTGATACTGTGCAGTTGTCATAGATGTGTTGTCACACTTGTTTGGCTTGTTGACACTGTAAAGTTGCCAGTGATGTGTAATCACACTTGTTTGCTTGTTGATACTGTGCAGTTGTCAAAGATGTGTTATCACACTTGTTTGGCTTGTTGACACTGTAAAGTTGCCAGTGATGTGTAACCACACTTGTTTGCTTGTTGATACTGTGTAGTTGTCAAAGATATGGTGTCACACTTGTTCCATTGTTGACACTGTGTAGTTGTCAAAGATGTGTAATCACACTTGTTTGCTGGTTGATACTGTGTAGTTGTCAAAGATATGTTGTCACACTTGTTCCATTGTTGACACTGTGTAGTTGTCAAAGATGTGTAATCACACTTGTTTGCTTGTTGATACTGTGTAGTTGTCAAAGATATGTTGTCACACTTGTTCCATTGTTGACACTGTGTAGTTGTCAGTGATGTGCTAATTGTCACACTTGTTATACTTGCGTGTTACTGTTATGTAATTCCTCAGAATGTGTTGAAATCTGTTAGTATAGGCAATTGTAACGTTTTGATTATTTTATGACACAGATGGTCAC